TTGAAGAAAGATGAGATTTTTAACGACAACCCAGCAAGTGAAGGGTTGAGTACAAGAGACTTTTTGGGGCTTAGAGCAATGTCTCACACTGAGTTTTTGAGTAATATTGCAGCTGCTGGTTATGGAAATTGCATCAATGGTGGTGCTGGTCAAACCCCTCAGACTCAAATTCGAAACCAACCCAGCTGGCAAGGTTAGACAATATGTGGTATGGTATGGTATGGCTTGGTATGGATGAACCAGAACAAAAAAAAAAAAAAATTATATTATTTTATAATTTTCCCTTTTGGGTTTAGATTATGAAATATATTTTTGAATTTTTTTCAGTTTCTTTTACAAGGGGGTCTTTTTTTTCCTAAGGGAAAGGACCACCACTTCTTGAATTAGGAATTTTTGGATCATAATATTCTCTCTATGTGTTTATATATATATATATATAGATAGATAGATTTCAATGTATAATACTTTAGTTGTGAAAACCCATCCTTTTGGTATTTCTTAATTCAATTTTTTTATTTTAAAAAAAAAACCCTTTTGAAGCTTAGAAACCCTAGCTAGGCTCATTAATTGGAGGTTCATAATATATGGATACATATAATTATGCAATTAATGGTAATGGACATGAAATCCTTAAGTATTTATTGTAAAGAAACTCACTTTTATGTGTATTTTAGCTATGTTTTCAATGATATCTTGAGTCATTTTTTCTATTTTATAAGGTCATAATTTAATACACTTGGTAGCTAGACAACTTGAAAGGGAAAACCTAGGTTAAGCTTCCCGTCATATATTTTATATATAGTTAGAATTTTAATTTTCATTTAATATCTTCCACCAATTTGAGCAAGGTTAAGAGATTTCAAATTTTACTAAAGTAAATTTAGAATAATAATTAATGTGTACTTAAAACAATTATTTAAAACATTTTTTAATTAAAAAAAACTTTTAAAGAATTATTCTAACATTGTTTCTTTTTTAAGATAAAACAAAAAAAATCTACGATTACAAACAACCTGGAAACAACTCTTTAAATGTACATTTCAAGACACCTTATGAACTCTTGATTTGATAGAATAGTTTTCAGTGTATGTATTTCAAAAAAAAAAGTAAGCCTTATCTCTTCTCTCCATCAATATGAACAAGAAAGAAGAATGTCCCTTAATTAAGTGTTATGTACTTTATCGATACGAAAATGGGTATCAAATTTTTCTCGGAAAAAAAAAACGACTTTATAATAAAGTCATGCATGTCACAAACATACAACAAAGAAATTATAAGAAACTCTATGCATTAAGCACGGTACGAGAAAACAACAAGTATGCAAAAAGATCGAATTTAGAGGACCAAATCGAAACAAAAAAAAAATTGCAAAGAAAAATATTGATGGTGAGAATTTGCCTTTACCAAAGGATTGTTATAAACCCTAACCCCTTATATTTAAAGTGCAATTGATGTTTTTTTAAAAACTTTTTAATGGGTCTTTCAATTGGATTATTTGTGGGAAAAAGCACTAAGTCTCTCTTAGTATGGGAGTATACATTAATTAAGATATAAAGTTAGGAAATTGTTTAAGCTTTTATGTGATTTGGTCAAGATCATTAGAACCAAACCTTTTCATGGATTAAATTATGCTCAAATTAATATTTTATTTAAAAATAAATAAAATTAAGAGAAAAATATTTGAATATGAATATATAATATATGGCAAAAAGTAGAGAGAGAATGAGTATTTTGAGTGTGAGAAGAGCAGAGGGCACAAAATATTAGAGGGGAACGTATAAAACCTCTCCCTAACCGAAAAGTTTTAAAATTATGAAGGTGACCACAATATATAATAAACTAGAATTAAAAAAATATTAATAGGCATAAATTAGGGCTTAGTTTTAAATACTGACTTCCTTGTTTGCTAAGCAAATGGAGAGAGAGAGAGAAAAAGATGCAAAAATGTGATAATTAGGGTATGATAAGAAAAAGTGGATCCTATTGGGGAAACTTTATGGTAAAATAATTAAATGAGAGAATTAACAAAATGAATGTGATGTGAGAGATACTCCCCCTTTATCTCTTTATAAAAAAATTATATATAAGTATATATATATATATATGTTAGGTAAAATTATTATATACAAAAGAAAAGAAAAGAAAGTAATTGAAATGGGAGAATAAAGCTTTTGTTTTTGTTAGAGAGAGAAAGAAAGAAAAAGATTGAACCTTTTTAACCAAATGATGAACAAAAGAATAGACAAACATACCATTCTCTGCTATAAATGTTTGCCACTTACAATTATTCTCATTTCTTTTCCTTTTTTTTTTCTATAATAATATTATTTATCAGACAGAACAGCAAGGGATGTGGGCTAAAAATTTGTACATTCACACTTCCCAATGCAGCCCTTATGCCGTTTCTCTGTATTTTTACCATTCTTTTTTTTTTTTTCCCTTTTGTCCCCCACATTTTTTAACCATATTCCACGCCATTCCCATTTGAATGTTCAATCTTTCTTATTCATTTGGATAATACTTCAAATATTTCAATTACCCATCAACGAGGATACTTAAACCGTCGGTTCCACCAAAGATACTCGTATGTGTTTTTTAAAGTTGGATGTTCGATCTTTCACGTTTAAATTTCTTGATCTTATGTTAATTTGAAATTCAATGGTAAATGACACTAGACATACCTTATAGTTTTTCAACAATAAACCATCACGTCAATTTTGGTTGAAAAAACCCTCTAATGATATGTTTTTTTTAGAACACTTTTAAAATTTAGCTTAGTGTTTAGTTGTTGGATAGTGTATACAATTGAACCAAGATGGACCATTGTTCGATGGATACAAAGGGAAAGGGTTGATTCAAAGAGGGATGCTTTTGTGTAATGTGTAGCATAAAGGAGTGAAAAGAATGGGGTGGTTCGTACCTTTGTATACTCTTTTGTGGTGAGTAGGCATTGGCAAAGGCAAAGGGAAAGGGCAAAGGGCAAAGGGCAAAGGGCAAAGGCATAGCCAGTGCCCATAAATAAAGGGGCATTTGTGTTCAAACTTTAGTTGACTTCCCATTTTCAATCATCATTTCAACTTCTCTGAACCCCAAGCCTTAAACCCTTTTGGTTTGACTTCCTCTAAAGCTTTGGTTTCCTTTATGGTTTTTGAGAGTTGAGAAACCCAATACTGTTTTGTTTTGTTTTATGGGAATATGGACTTCTCTTCTCCCAACCTTTCTTTCCCTACTTTCCAACAAAATTATCATAAATTTATGTCTCCTTATTGCCAAGATTAAACATACTTTACAAGTGGTAAACATGGACATCATTATTGTTTTGACTTTCTATTCTATACTTTCTTCAAATTTCACTTTCTAAAGTATCCAAAGTATTCATACAAGCCGCACAATATTCAATCATCTCACTTCATGAAAGTTTGATATACTATATTTTAAAAATGAAAACGGATCAAATCATTTTTCACTACTTTTATGTTCTATAATACACTAGTATTATGATGCTATTGATTGTTGCTTTAATTTAGGCATGAAATAGGTTGTGATATCTGAGTAAATGAGGAGTACATAAATGAGCCGAGATCACATTCGAATGAAGTCATTTTGAAGATAGAATAACTATAAAAGATTTAAAGTAAATAAATTATTACATATACCAAAAAAGTGCACTTTTCTTTTTTATAGCTCAATCATAGAAACTTCGTGCTTTGCAGGGGATGCAATGGAATATCACGGCCATCCACTGCCAAATTTGAATTTCTAATGTTGATCCGTATCCTGAATATAGATGTTACACACGTGATCTAACGTGATCTAACTTGAAAAATAATAGTAGAAAGATGTTCACACATGTCCATTTTTTACCTTATCAAAATTATCCCTCGGAAATTAAAAAAAAATAATAATAATAATTTTAGCTTTTTTGTTTTGCAAATATTAAGTAAAATAAAATGTTATTTCATGTTATCCTCTTTCATATTAATAATTTATTGTCGCTCAAAATTCTAAATATTGTGATAATAAATTTGATGAGACCTTGAAAAAAAAAATGAAGAAGCGGGACCATTTTGAAATAAATAAACATATTGCGTGAGTTCAAAATGGCTCGTATATATGACAATTTTACATTAATAATTACCATCAACAATGAGGCCCATGAACTAGCTTTTGGACTTTGAATTGGGCCAGCATACATGTTTAGGCCCATAACATAGTTTTTGCACATTAGATTGGGCCAGGCTACATGTTTCGGCCCATGAACTAGCTTTTGGACTTTCGATTGGGCATGCTTACTTGTTAAGGCCCATCAACTTGCGATAGGACATTCGATTGGGCCAACTCACTTGTTCAGGCCCATGAACTTGCGATAAGACATTCGATTGGGCGAGTTTACTTGTTAAGGCCCATGAACTTGCTATCGGACTTTCCATTGGGCCAGCATACATGCTTAAGCCCATGAACTAGCTGTTGGACTTTCTATTGAGCCTGCTTTCTTGTTAAGGCCCATGAACTTGCGATAGGACTTTCGATTGGGCCAGCTTAGACGTTTAGGCCCATGAATTATCTTTTGGACTTTCGATTGGGCCTGCTTACTTGTTAAGGCCCATGAATTTGCTATAGGACTTTCGATTGGGCCAGCTTACTTGTTAAGGCCCATGAACTTGAGATAGGACTTTCGATTGGGCCTGCTTACTCGTTAAGGCCCATGAACTTTCTATAGGTCTTTCGATTGGGCCAGCTTACTTGTTAAGGCCCATGAACTTGCTATAGGACTTTCGTTTGGGCCAGCTTACATGTTTAGGCCCAAGAAGTAGCTTTTGGACTTTCGATTGGGCCTGCTTACTTCTTAAGGCCCATGAACTTGCTGTAGGACTTTCGATTGGGCCAGCTGCATGTTAAGACCCATGAACTTGCTATAGGACTTCCGATTGGGCTAGCCTACATGTTTAGGCCCATGTTGGAAAAGTCAGACAATTATCTCGCAGGTCTCCAAAATTACTGTTTGAAGGTAAAAAGTAAAACTAAAAAACTCGCATCTCCGGCAATTCAACTCTTTAAAACAAGAGCCGGCCGTATGTAAGTACAGTAGGGCGATCGGAGTCCGTGGAGAACTAACCGGAGCTTGAGCAAAAGCCTCTAGTCCCAAACAATCGCAAGCCCTAGCAAGAAATCGGCGATATGGATTTCTCTGGAGGAGGAAACTGGAGCATGATCCCCAACATCCCTACTCTCAGCAACTCCTCTAATCTTTCCAATCAAGAATCCCTTTACCTTCAACAGCAGCAATTCTCCCTTCAGCAGCAGCAGCAGCAGCAACAACAGCAACTATCCTTTCACCACCAGCCACAGCAATTCCAGCCCCAAATTCAACCCCAACAGCAATTTCAGCAGCAACAATCCTCCCCCCAATTTCAACAGCTACAACCCTCTCCTCAAATTCAGCCCCAACAACAACTCTCCACCCAATTCCAGCAGCAAATGCAACCCCAACATTTCCCCCAGCAGCAGCAGCAGCAACAACAACAACAACAGCAATATCATTTTCAACAACAACAGCAGCGCCTTCTTCAACAGCAGCAGCAGCAACAGAAACAGCAGCAATATCATCAACACCAGTCTCTGGCTTCCCATTTTCATCTATTTCATGTAATGTCTTCAGAAACCCCTTAATTTTGAGTGCTCTCTAATCTCCGTGTTTTGCGTTTGTTGACTTTCTTGGATGTTTTGTGTGTTGTAGCTTGTGGAGAAATTAGCGGATGCGATTGAGACTGGAGTTAGAGATCAGCAATCGGATGCATTGGTATCAATTTTGATTCTTTTTTGAAATTTTCTCTCAAGATTAATCATACCGTTGTTTCCTCTAATAATTTGTTCATTTAACGTTTTGGAAGGTCAATGATCTGAACAACCACTTTGAGAAGTGCCAGCAACTGTTAAACTCGATATCTGGATCACTCAGCTCAAAGGCTATGGTAAAGTTGAAATGACAAATCCATCACTACAAATGAGATATCACAATTTTTTTTCTTTTTCATCTTTTGGTTGCAGACAGTAGAGGGACAGAAGAAGAAGCTGGAAGAACATGAGCAGTTGTTAAGTTATCGAAGGTATGGTGGTAACCAATTTTTGGCTGTGGTTTGCATTAAACTGTCTTCTTCATCAATGGTCCTACTGATGATTCTCTATTAAAAAAGGGAACTGATTGGCAAATATAAGAGCTCCGTTGAAGAGCTTGGCAAGGGCGAGCCTTAGCTACTTCTCACCCATTCCTAATTAGGTAATACTTCAATTTATATTTACAGTTTCTTTTCCGCTTATCTCAATTGTCCAAGGTTCTGTTTGGCTTTCCTTTTCTATGTTGTCATCTTTTGCTAAATGGTTTGGTTGTGGGGTTGAAATTGAAAAGTGGTCATCAGGAAAGAAATTCACACACCAAAACATAAATTATTGTACGAATATGAGCTTTCTGTTCAGAAAGGCTAAGATTAGTTTTTGTACATTCTCAACACTAAATGTTGTTTAGGTATCACCTTAGGACTGAGTTGAGGGTCATAGCGTTTCTGGTCTAAAAGTGGGTTCGAAGTTGAATACAATTCAACATTCGAGATTGTGTGTTGTATTGTTCTAGATGTCTTAGGTGTTAGCTGCATAAATAGTCAATCCACACTTTTTGTCGACATGTTTTCGGATGCGAGAAAAAGGAACGTAGAGTTACATTTCGGAGAGAGTAAACCAACTTGTATATGGATATGAATTTTCAATCGATTCAACGCCATCTGTGCGTTCCTTCAATTTTGGTTCAAAATCATTTAAATTGTCTCTTATCAAAAGAAAGGAAAAAGAAACTTGAAGTACATACTTATGAATTCTACACCATTTCAGGCCTGGCTAGCATCATGTACCTGTTTTGAAGGGATGTGAAAAGAGCTGCTTTCACCGGGTCTTGCAATTCCATGGAGGGGCTTTTATCTAATCTGCCTCCCTGCATTTCATAACACGATGATATGATGCACAGTTGAATTCAATCCTCTCTGTTCTCTTCGACTTTTTCAGGAACTCATGTTACCTCTAACGTATCTTGTACAGTTATTCCAACAGTTAACTTCTAAAATTAATGAACAGTAGATGCTTTCTCTAGCTTTCATTCTTTTAAATGTTAAATTTGGATTTGGATTTGGATTGATGCGAATATTAAGTTATAAAACATCATGAAGCTTGACCCAAATTTCAGGTATCATATGCAATTTCCTACATCGATAAAGAATGTACCATGGAAATTCATAAAGATATCACCATCTCTCCTAGATGAACCTGTAACATCTTGTCCTTTCCCCATTCTACTTCTTTGATCTTCCTACCAGCACAATGATAGGATAAACCATCATCAGTAAAAGATTTCAGTATTGTTGTTCTTGAACATTCTATTCAATAATACTATCATCAAAATCTCGACTTTCAATCTGAAGAGCCAAATCATGAAGAATTTCATCAACTCTCTCTAAACCTTCTTGCATTGAGTTTCCTGATTTGAACATATAAACCCTTTTCTTCACCTCAATCCAGCTGCACCCAGGAACTTTCTTTAAACCCTTCATCCTTGCCGAGATCCTGACCCTCGCAGAATCCTCCCACCTACAGCTTGCAGAAAAAATATTCGAGAGCAACATATGGCTTCCCGTTATCTCGGAATTCAGATTTAAAATCTGAGAGCCAGTTTCTTCTGCAAGATCTGTATCCTTGTGCATCCTGCAAGAGTTGAGAAGAGCACTCCAGATATAAGCATTGGGTTTGATTGGCATGCTCTTGACTATGTTACTTGCTTCTTCCACGAGCCCAGCACGACCTAGAAGATCGACCATGCACGCATAGTGCTCCATCTGAGGTTTGATCTTGAAGTTCTGTAGCATCTGATCGAAAAGCCAACGGCCTTCAGCAACAAGACCGGCATGACTACAAGCAGAAAGAGCAGCAATAAAGGTAACATCATCTGGTCTAAATCCTGATTTGATCATCTCGTCAAAAGTTACGAGAGCATCTTTACCAAGTCCATGCATTCCATATCCTGCAATCATTGAGTTCCATGAGATTAAATCTCGATTTTCTAGTTTTCCGAACACCAAACAGCCTGGCTTGAAACTTCCACATTTTGTATACATGTTAATCAATCCATTTCCTACCAGTATGTTATCTTCCATCCGAGCTCTAATCACATGACCGTGCATTTCCCTACCAAGATTCAGAGCTGCTAGCATAGCACAAATTGATAGAACACTAGATATCGTCACTGAGTTCGCTTTTACATTTGCAAGCTGCATTTGGCGGAAAACTTCCAAAGATTCTTCTCCAAATCCATTAGAAGCAAATCCACAAATGACTGCGCTCCAAGTTATGACATTAGGTTTCATCTCTGGAGAGCCTCCCATTTTCTCAAGCTCAGAAAACGCTTCAAAAGCTTTGTCATATAATCCAGATTCAGCATAAGAGGATATAAGAGAATTCCAACTCACAAGATTCTTCACTTTCATCTCATGAAATAACTTCTCTGCATCTCTTATGTCTCCTCCTTTTCCATATACAGTTATAAGCGCATTTTTAGCAAACAAGTAATCTTCGAAACCTCCCTTTACTATATATCCATGAACCATCTGACCCCTGTCCAATGTAGCTAAATCAGCACAAACAGATAACACCACAGCAAGCATTTCAGCAGTGGCACCAACACCTTTCATCCTCATCTTGCTAAACAAGGCAATAGTTTCTTCAAGATGACCGCACCGAGCATGACTTGACAGCAAAGAAGTCCAAGTTACAGGGTTCGGCTCGACCCCTTCCAACTCCATTTGAAGGAACATCCTAGAAGCACCATTAACATCATAATTATAGGCATAGCCAGAAACCATAGTGTTCCAAGAAATTACACTTTTAACACGCATTTTGTCAAACACTTTTCGAGCATCATCCATTCGTCGGAGTTTCACATACATTCCCATCAATTCATTCACAACGTGCAAATGATTGTGGAATCCAAATTGTACAACATGACAATGAAGACTCTTGCACAAATTGAAAATACCCAAATTGGAAGAAGCCCTCAAAACCAGAGGAAAAGTAAACCCATCAGCCAAAACCCCAAAATTTTTCATTTTCCCATAAAGTTGAAGGGCTTCTCTACTATAACCATCTACATTCGCTCTAATAATCGAATTCCACAACAGCAAGTTCCACAAAGCTTCAAATGGCACAGTATCAAACACTTTCCGAGCGTCGAAAACAAAACCAGAACGGGCATAGACGGACACAAGCCGGGCGGCAACGAACGCCGACGAACAGGCGCCAGTGACAATGGTGGCGGAATGAACTTGTTTGCAATGTCGAATCCCGTTGCATTGCCGAAGAAGACGATCGAAAGAATCGAGAAGCTGGTTGTCATACGTGATTGAGGAAAAATGGGAGTTGAAATAGGATCGAAAATGAGAGGGGAAATTGATTGTGAATCGTGGAAATAAAAACGAAGCTGAATTGAATCGCTGATAAGAAGATGCATACAGCATGAATCGAAGATGCATACAGCATGAATCGAAGATGCTAATTATGAAGGTTTAGGGTTTTGAATCCCACACATTTGAGATTGGCGCGAATTTATGAGATGCCCACAGGCCACAATCGCAATTGCCATAATTTTGCGAAGAAAGCAAAAAGAAGAAACGACATGTCGGGAGAACGCATAATTATAAGATTAAAGTATAAAAAATAAAAAATTTGTATTCTAAATAAAAACATGTTAAATTATAGTTTGTACAATTTTCTTACAAGATTTCATTTAATTCTTGTAATTTTAAAATTTTCAATTTCTTCTCTACCTTACTTTACAATTATATTATACATATACAAATATATAAACCGACGAGGGTAAAATTGGAATTTTAGGAAAAAGGCACATTAATAAGTAATAATAAAAGGGAATGGGAAATAATAAAAGCGAGTAAAAGAAGAAAAATTCGAAGGAGGGGCTATTCTGGAATTTCAAGTGGGAGCGGGGCCAAATTGCACAAAGGAAAACCACAATAATTCAAAGGTATTAAAAAAAATGTGAAGTAAACTAAAGTCTCTCCACCGACACAAATATTATACATTTTTGAAGTATTTGTGAGTATATAACTTTTTTTAAAATCAAATAACATATTTGTGTATCATATATTATATTATGCACACAGCTCATTCCCAACAAAACTTAGATTATGACCTTTGACCCTAAGTCCCCCACTCTCAATTAATTAAGATTCTCTTCCATATTTATTTAATTCTGTGCAATAATTTCATTTTTGTAAGAAATATTTAAATTCACATATAGGTGTTAGGACATTATTATTTTATTTTTGAATAATAAAATAAAATTCTCTCTCAAGGACCCCAAAAAAAATAAATATAAATAAAACAACTAGCTAGCCTTACACACGTTCTTTACAGCAATGAATGAATAATTAAATTATAAAGTCAGCCAAATTAATTCTGCATTTTCCAACTACTATATATCACCAACAATCATTATCTTATTATAAATCCCTCTTTATTCTCCACATTAAATAATTTAATTACAGCAAGACTTTATTAAATAATCTAAAATTACCTGCCCCCAACTTAAATCCAATCAGAATAGTAGTAGTGATTAAAAAAAATTAATATACATTATTGAATCTTAAAAAATATATCAAATTTACAAAATATTCTAAATATTTGGACAAAAAAGCAAAAATAAAACAGTTGCAAAAGTTTAGGAAAAAAAAAGAAGTGTATAATCAGGGAAGGCGAAAATTAAAATTTCGGGAAAGGAAAAATACAAAAAAAAAAAAAAAAGTAATAATAATAAAATGCAACCAGAGACCTCTTTGCTTCTTCGTGTTCTTTGTATTCTTCAAATTTTCTTCTCCTCTGTTTTCAGATCGTCCATTTCCAGATCTTTAAACGAAGATCAACCTTACATTTTGCGCCGGAAGTTGAGGCGGTGGCCGGAGATTTACCGGTGGGAACAGTTACAGAAATTCCGTCACAAGAAACTCTAATTCCGATTTTAGGGCTCTTGAGTGCTCCCATCTTCAATTTCACCTTCGTATCGAGTTGAATCTCCAACGGAAGACCTTTCTTGCTCTTCATACTGCTCTTCAAGGTACTTTCCGACGAGCTATCTAGTTGGTGGCTCTTGCTGAGAATCGAGGTCTTCAACAGAGTTGTGTTCTTCGTATCGTGAACAAATCCAGGCAATACACCATCGCCGACATCGATTCCATTGGAGAATACTGAAATCGAGACCGGATTGTAAGTGAACACGAGCTTTTTGTTGGGGTTTCTGGCGGAAACGTTGAGATCGAACTTCGAATTGAGGAGTGAAGAGGAAGTGATGTTGAAATAGGAGAGTTTCACGGCGGAGACGGTGAAGGACGGCCGGTGAGGACGGTAGATTAGGTAAACAACGGCGGAGGCAATGGCGAGGAGGAAGATTAGGAGGATGAGAGTTAGAGATAACCAGAGGCAGACGGAGCAGCAGCAACTGCGGCTGCGGCGACGGCGATGGTGAGGTTGAGGGTGGTAGGCAGGGCGGGTAGCGCCGTAGAGTTGAGATTTAGTTGCTGGAAATGGAGCGGTCTTGGGGGCCGGAGCGCCGTTGGTGGCCGTGGCCGCGGCAGCGTTGGGGTAGACTCTATCCGTCATGGGGCTGGAGAGGGAATTTTGGCGTGAAATTGAAAGGCTATCGATTTATTTTTCAGTGAAATCAAAATGGGATTTTAAAGAGCCATTTTCGAAGAGGAGGGAACACAGAAACCGAGGGGTATTGGGGGCTGACTGTAATTTGTAGAAACAAAGTGGATATATATGGAAATATGAAAAATAAATGAATTCTTTTCTAAATTGGTAAAACATTTATAAATATTTTTAAAAAAATTATGATAAAAATTGATTTTTCATTCATTATTATAAAGGATTTTTGCACTGTTTTTTTTTTCTTTCGATTTTTCTAATCTAATGCCTTTACATTTAAATTTTAGGTGTTTTATTTTTGTGTTTGAAGCTTCGAAATTTTATTTTAAATTTTAATTTTTTAAAAAAAGTAACTATAGAAAAACCTTCAATAATATTTTTTTTTTAATAATTTAAATGAATAGTTTTAAATCAACGATGTCATATCCTACATGGATATTTATTGTGCTCGAATAAAAAAAAACTCATTTTATAATTATTGAAATTATAAGGACTGATGAACTAACATTTAAAAAAAAAAGTATAAGAGAGGGTCAATTTGTTTTTTTTTAAAAAAAAAAAATTAAGGGCGTAGAGATTAATAGCGTGATTGAGATTGAAAAAATGTGAAGACACCGCACCTAAAAATGCCTGTTGCGCTGTTTGATTCTTTATACTTATCTGTCTGCCAATCATTGATATTTCTTATTATTTTAATTGGTCAAATAATTTAAAATAAATTTCAATATTATTTTCAAACTTTTATTTATTCCTAATAAATTCAAAATTTCCGTTGCATATTCATATTCATACCCACCACTCGGTGCGGATCTAAACCAATTAATTAAGCATATCTTATGTATTTATTTTGTGAAGGTGAAGAGCTTTTAGGATGTGTAAATCATATGAAATCATCAATATTATTGATTAAAACACTGAACAAATTGAAAAAGAATTCTTAAATCTAGAAGTCAAATATTCGAAATTGTTGAACTCAAAAAAGAAAAAAAAAATTGTACGATATTTTTATGAGATTAAATGTGAAGGTGAAAATTTGATCAGAATCGAAGCTATAGTACTTTAATCGAGTTAAATAATTGAAATTTACAGTAAAAAATTCTGAAGATGGTAGCTGAAAAGATTATGATCTTTCCATGAAAAAGCATCATATTTTGATATCAAGTACATTGTTTTTGACATTACTTACAGAAAGTACATTAAAATAAACATAAGATAATGGGATCACAACAAGCAGACAGAGGATTGAGTGGACGAGGTTTTGTTCTGTGTGGCATTTGAGCGTTTAAATTGTCTTCACTGGAGTGATGGAACCAAATGACGTATCTCTTTGGTTTCTTCATTCTTAGAACACAAGGACACGGTGGCCACTACCTTGCCCACATGGTACCCTCCATGGTAATGCCAAATTGACATCACAGTGTCTCTGCACAACTCTCATTGGTATGCTTTGGAATGAGATTAAAGCCAATATAAAAGTTACGTGAATGAGGATAAAACATGCGGAAAAAATTTGTATAAGTCGGTAGAGATAATTCACTTTTGGAAGCTAGAAGAAACGTAATCATGTCATAAGAGATGGAGGGAAATGTCGGAGCCATCAAAACATCCTAAATATCCAACTAAATTAAAAGATAAGAAAGCATCAATCTAAGAGCTTAATTGATTAAGACATCGTTAACGTGACAGAGTAGACATGAACAGAAGCCAGAGGCTTCCATTTTCTTTCAAGAACTTGAAGGAAAAAAAGTGACAAGTACAGAAGCACATGGATTCAATAATTAAAACCTCAAAGTGCTTCTGTGACACAAACAAACCTACAATAATTTCATTTCTCCTAACTTTTTCTATAATAATATGGTGACTGGCCGGTGAGAATCCCAACAAAAACAGCTAACTATTTACCCTTAATCCCAATCTCAATAATACTCTTCCATCAGTCTCTCTGTCGTATATTTTGTACAACTTCACCAATGGAGATCTGCCATAATGAATGACTGTGTTTTGCTTCATTCTACACTTCCAACTTCAACCAATAACTAATCCATCAGCTGCACACGACTTCCACCGACAGTTTCTTCATCACGTTCGGACATGGGTCGCCTCCGAACATCTCTGGCGCCACCGTTACCGCGCAGAAGTTTTGACCAACGCATGTCTGCAAGAGCCAGGGAAATTAGACATGACTTGAACCAGGTCTACTACATTTGGTTGTCAAAGTAACTCATACGATACTAAATCCTAAGTAGATGGCTAACATGGCTTAAACTCATTTCCCTAAGTCATACTTACCCGCTGAAAAGCATCATATGAGCGATGGGCGTGGCAGATTCCCTCCCGGAAACTTCCACATTCGCCTTGCGGCGTTCCGAAGCTAGCAAACTTGACTGATGAAATCTTCTGGCCAGGGCCACAGGACAGATGAGCTTTTGGCCTCAGGGGCTTGTTAACTTTACCTGAGGCTTGCATCTGCCAGTTCATAAGCGTTGGTTGCCACTCATTGATATTGACACACACAGTATCCACATCTCTTCTAACCAGAGAAATTCCGTTCGGGTCTCCGCCCCATTCTTCAAACACAACCAACAGATTTCCTGTCGGGTTTAACCAAGAACGAGGAACATGATACCTGACAAAAACAATGATCAAAGAGCAGTTAGTTCATCAATGTTTGAAGAACTACAGAAGAAGAGTTAGGATTCATTTTGGGATATTGTTGCCTACCATCTCTGAGACGCCTCGCCGCAGTTACTCGAGCATTTATTCTCATTGTATGTACCAGTATAATTGCAGTGATCACAAGAACCAGATGCCTTGTAAGCAGACCAGTAGCGCCCAATGCTCTGGCCATTTAACCATATTTGTCCTTTCCCCATGCTACTCATATCTAACGCCAGGGGTGAGCTACCAGCTGGAGCATTGAAAGTAGTCTGAATCATAACACATCAAATATATGTAAGTTGCAGAGTTCAAAGGCTAGGTAGAGAAAATCAGCTAATATAGGCATAAGATACCTTAAACCATGTTAAGGGTTGCCTTTGAGCAATGAGAGATCCCTGAATCCATTCGACAGAGGAACTTCCACTGAGTGAATGAAGGCTCATTGCTTCTCCATCCAAACCAATCTAAATGACAATGTTGAAAGATGTCAAGTGTTAGACATGGTGATGCTGGGACATCAGACAGCTAGAGAACAGTATCAGTGAACCATGTACAAACCTTGTAGGTCCATTTCTGCCAGCTCAAGTCTCGTCTGCCCTCGTTGAGACCGTTCAGATTAACCGGGCCGAGAACACCAGCATTCCACATCTCAAAATGTGGACCAACATTCTGAATCATATCACAAGAGATCACAATGTTTTCATCGTTTAAGTGACCGTTCTAAGTCTCTATTTGTAAGAAAGAAAACTTACCGGGAGACCGACTGCGATACTTAGAAGTGCAATTTTGTTGTTCCCTGCCCTTAAGTTCACCCCCTGTCTAAATGTTAGCTTTGGGAAGTCTAAACTTCCATAAGCAGTTCCTGTGAAAGGAAAAATGCATTTGAGTTAGCTGCAAATTTTGACCATGAATCAGCAAAAAGTCAGTATGTTCTTTTCAATCATTGATTTTGTAGCCTTTAAAGGACCCAAATCAGGTTCGACATCTGTTTGGATTCTGAAAAGGTTTCTTGTGAGATCCCACATCGGTTAGGGAGGAGAATGAAACACCCTTTATAAGGGTGGGAAACCTCTCCTTACCAGACGCGCTTTAAAAACCTTGAGGGGAAGCCCAAAAGAAAAAGTCCAAAGAGGACAATATCTGCTAGCAGTGGACTTGGGCCGTTAGATTTCTAGAGATTCCAAAGATTTTGGAGAAAGCCACTGTCTTAAACCTTCAAAGTTAAGTTGTATCATCTGACTAATGAGAAAGATGAACCTTCAATCTATAATAATTTTACACACCTGCTAGTTGACCGTTAACGAAAACGTGCATAGCATGGCCAGCTGACAAGACCGTAAGAACAGGATCCTTTCCACTCCACAAAAATCCTTCATTAGAATCAATATGTACACTGCAAAAGAAGCACGATTTATCGAGAAATTCGTCATGATTACTGAAAAACATGAGAATAAAAAGGCTAAAATGAATGAATTGAGCAAATATCCATCACTTACTCTGTTGTGTACCACAAGTAATCAGTGGCATCTCTTGTAGTATTTATCTGTTCTAACAATCCTACTGTAGTAAACGCTTTATCATTGTACGAGGCTGGCTCTTCGTTGTACGCCTTCCACGATAAACTACCGTGCATCGGAACCGGGGACATCTTCATTCTTGCAGTTTGCGCACCAACCTGAGCAAAATAATTTCAATATATACTCAAAAATCTAAAATCAATGCAGATTTAATTTGTTAGCCGAGTCTTTCCCTTACCCTTGCCGTATTATAAACTGTATTTTTGCAGTCTGGAAGAATGCTGATAGACCAAGGCGGAATGTTGTAGTGCATGCTACCAAAAGCTACCGTTGCATAGGATCTCGGGTTGTAATTCGAAAGGAATGCAGCACAAGCACCAGATTTTGATTTGTATACATGAGCCTGTGAGGACATTGAGTTTAGAGATTAAGTTTTGTAGGTTCATCATAAAGATAGTTGCAGATAAAAGAAAAGAATGCTCACCTCTTGATAGTTCCCGAGTCGAGTGACGATCGGATCTCCAGACACAAGAGCTGGTTCACAAAGTTTTATTGCTCGGTGCAGATCTTTCAGATGACCCCATTTGGGTTGCCTCAATAAGCCTGCATCAAGAGTCAAGTAGTTAGCTCTCAAACGAATGGTTCCACTGCTGTTATAGGATATAATCCATGTTAACAGGAGCATCATGAGCTTACCATATTCGTCAATAGGAGCATCGTAATCATAACTAGTAGCAATGAAAGGACCACCAGCAGTTCGTCCGAAATTTGTTCCACCATGATACTTGAAAACAAACAAAAACGAGTCGAAATCAGTTGACTGATCAAATATGTTCTTCCTGATTAGGAAACTCAACCAATAAGAAACTCTTAGTCTT